TGCACAAGAAACCTGCTCAACAGTAAACTGCCCAGCAAATACCTTCATCCCAGCTGGATACTGCCGGTGTGGGGGAAGCAAAACCTCGGGAAGCAGAGGACTGAAAATAAGGGAAGCTTTTCAACCTGGAGGAGGGAGAGTGGCCACTTTTTGACTTGCACGAGTTTGGGAACTTCAGACCAGTGGAGTGAAGTGGACTGCAACAGCAGTGCAAACAGCACTGACATATGTGTGTGTCTCTCAGTGAGAGCCAGCCACCAGCAGCATCACAGCAATGTGTTGGACGAAAACCACAGGGTGCATATTTGCCTACCAGGAGATGGACCTGAGGAGCTAACTGCAACCTCCTAAGGCTTCCCAGGCTCCCCTGGGCTCTTCTTCCATAGAGGAACAGGCTTGAGAATGAGGAATCCAACAGTACGTGCTAACACCCAAAGCATTGATACAAAGCCTTTTCCAAAGGCCACTGTGGATGAAGGGTAGCTGTCCTCCTCGTCTCAGTCCCTGGCTAGATGCATTGCTTTCGCAAAGCCTTTCCCCAGCCTGCCCCATGCTGCCTGGTCTGCCAAGCTGGGGTCTGCTCTTCCTCTGCCCCCCCTGCACAAGAGCAGACTAAAGGAAGATCCCTTAACATACCTCAGATGGCCTGTTATGGGGTGAAGGTGTCTGTGGGGTGAAGGGGCACTCTCCTGCAGGGCTGCTTCCCTGCTGGCCACCCCCTTCCCAGGACCAGCAAGGCTTGGTGCTACTGGTGCCCTGCCGCAGGCCGGGCTGATCCTTCCTCCAGCCGTACATCTGACTGGTCCTGCAGAGCAACAACCGTGGGGCAAAAGGCACATGGAGTTGTGTATGCTTTGGTGATGCTGTGGTATGAAGGAAGATCTTTTGGTTTTATTTCACTGCTTGGGGGTAAGAAACCTGCTCAAGGATTAAATAGATCTGGGGGTGGGGGGATATTTTACTGCACAGAGCACAGAGGATAGCGTTAGCCAGCACGGTCTGAGCTGCGATGGATCAGAACTGTTTCTTCTGGGCTTGCCATGTGCCCCATCACGCTCATGGTGGATCTCAGGTGACTGAAGGATATCAGGTCCTTGCTAGAAGGACCTTTGGTGCCTGCTGCAGGGGCAGGTGGGACCGAGACTGTCTGCAGGCACCATGTGAACTAGAAAAGCCAATGTTGGGAGTCTGCAGAGAACAGAGGTGGTCTGGGAATTTGTCTGGTGCATCTCGTGGACCAAGAGTTTCTCTGTACTGGTCAGAGCTGGAGGGAGAGGCGAGCATGGGAAACCTGCTGAGCTGCCCTCCAGGTACGAGCCCCTGTGCTGGGAGCGCAGGGCCTGGCTTCCCCACGCCAGTCTCACGCAAAGTCCAGGTCAGTGGTTGAATTTCATGTCTCGGAATCCTGGCACTGAACTGAAGCAACTGCGATGGTGGGTGGAGGGCCTGGGTGGTGCAGCAGGCTCGCCATTGCTGGACCTGGCCAGGAGCTGCCTCCTCTGCGTCTCTTCCCTCTGTTGGCCGCTTGCTCCGCAGGTGCCGACGGCACAGACCTGGCCATGCTGCACCCCATGGGCCACGCATTCCCGCGTCCTCCATTGTGTCTTCGTTTGTTAGTTTTTATAAATGCCATTTGGGAATAAAGTCTAGTGGTTCTTTTCCACATCAGCCCTGGCTGCTGTGTTTCATCATCCTGGGTCTGCTCAGTGCTGCTGCCAAAATGCCGTGTTTCCAAGCATAGGCACAAACACAACTACACAAACAGCTTCACGCTCTGTCAGCAGAGCTGGCATAATAAACCTTTAGTTAAAAGTATTTTACAGAAGAGTATTACCTAGGAGATAGTGCTATTTTGAGTCCATTGCCCCCCTGTGCCCTCGATCTGTGGCAGGCTCAGCTGGTGTCACCCCTTCTCTTCGGTTGGGTGGGCACAAGGTAGCAGCAGCAGCACGTGCACAGTGCAGAGGCTGCTGGATTCATCTTTTCCACCTGAGCAGCCCACAAGCCAAGAGGACCAAGCCACAGTGAAATGATTTCCCTTCCCCAGCTGCAGCTTGTTTTGTGCTGACTCGTACATGGCATTAGTTACGTACGCTTCAGGCGCAGCCCTCTCACAAGGACACCTCGGAAAATTGGAGGAAGGTGTTCACTATGCCGGGGCCACTGGGTCTGCTGCACCCAAACAAATCGTAGAGCAGTGCTGAAGCTCAGTTCTCTGAGCTCCTCATATGATAGTCATCAGTGTTAGGTAGGAAGACCTTTCCTTCCGATGTCCAGTTTCTTGAAGTCAATCAGCTTTCAGATTTACAGCTGTGAAATCTCTGGGCACTTGCACGTGGCCAAAGTGCTGTGTTCCTCCCTGGAAAGACCCTCTGTGCAGCCCTTGGAGGCTGGCAGTAATCCCATGGGTGGTTTGGACTGCTGGGTCTTCCCATGTCCCCGACGATGCAGGAGGGTTTTGCTTTCAGATGGCTACGCATCAACAAGCCATCAGAGATGTTTCCAGCCTCTCATCCAGGCTCCCAGATGTGGCAGAAACCAGGTCCTCTCCCCACACCCCATAGCCTGGCCCACCCTGCTCCTCTGGTGACTCCCCAGCCTCACTTGTCATTATTTGCAGCGAGGGAAATGTCTGGAGAAGCTCCAGGGACGTTGTCACTTCTAGGCTTCAGGGTTGGCCCTTTCCAGATCCGCTAATGAGCAGAAGAGGGTTTTCAAACACAAAATGCAAACCTGATCCATGAGCTTTCCAGGACACAGAGAAAAAGCCCGGAGATGAGCAGTGGCCAGGATCAGTCCCAGACTGACTGAGGCTATTCTGCTTTTCTTCTGGGGACCCTTGGCAAGAGGATGGAAAGCAAGAGGCACTGGGTGATACCCTGACAGTTTGGGGAGCATATTCCTTTAGGACATCTCAAGTCTGTTCCCTGCCTCTTCCCCACTGGTCAGGTGTGAGCACTGATGGAGGAGTGGGAACCCTTCTGTTGCGGAGAGGTGGGAGCTCTGGGCTGGTGGTACGTACACGTGTCCAGAGAACTGGATCCTGACCGTGGTGGTTCAGTTCCTCCTGGCTGGAGCCAGCGCAAGCCCTCTCTGTGACTGCTGCAGGCGTGGTGCCTGGGGAGGACCACCAAGCCCAAGGACCCTCTCCCCCACGTGCCTGTACCAGCACAGGGAGCATTTTCCTGTCTTGCAGCGGCTGGGGCTCGTGCTGGAGGGGATGCAGAGCCAGCCCATGGCTCACTGCACCAGCTTAGGGGATTCAGGAGAATTTCACTCTGCAGCCAGGTCCAAACCACCTCACCTGGCGCTGGTGCTGGCTTGTCATACCTGGATATTTCCTCTCTGGAGTCAGGTGACGGTCTGGGAATATCAACTAGATGGGCGTGGGTAAACTGTTCTTGGTGTGCTCTTAGTCCCTCTAACAGCGGTGGCCTTCACAGACGGAATTTAAATGTTGAAGGTTTCTGTGTAGTAAGAGGAGAAGATAGAGGGGAGCAGAGAAAGGGGATCCAGCACTTTTACCTAGGTTAAAGTGGGGGATGTCAGCACCAGCTTGTACGTCTCTGCAGGGGGTCTGTGGTTCCGCAGAGCTGCCTGTGGCAGCCCCTTGGGCCTGAGAAGCTACTCGTGGACAACAGCATCAGCAGCTGGTGAGACACAGCTGGTCACTGTGGGACTTCGCTCCTGCTGAGGGCACGTCACTCTGACTGGGAGTAGGAGAAGACCAAAACAGAGCTCCTGGAGACGGGGAAGTGACTACAGGACTTCTCTGCTCAGACGCGCACTTTCTCATGTACCTGAAAAGGAGAAGTGAGCAGGGACAGGACCTAGTGAATAGGCAGATGCAAAACCTCAGGTTTATTTCTTAGCACATCGTTGACCTGCTGTGGTGTGCTGGGCAAGTGGCCTCTTCCCTTTCCTCACCCACAAGGTTTGGATTCAGTGTTGGAAGGCTGGAGCGGCCCTTGCTACACATCTGTGCAATAAGTAGTGTGATAAACCTGGGACCGCTAGGAACATAACACAAATAAATACTCTGCTTCCACTGACTCTGGTCTGTGCCTGCAGCGAGGAGGTAGCACTAGGCTCTCCTCCCCTGCGGCTGTGGGGAGGAGCCCAGGAGCAGGAGTCCAGGAAGAAGAGACCCTTTAACCAGTTCTGCTAGGAGTCAGATAAAACATCACACGAGCTGGAACTGCCCCCATCCGCCAGCAGATAGCCCTTCTTCAAATGCTAGTGGAAACAAGGTGAAATGGAAGATACTGGCACCTGCTGGCGATTTCCATGATGTCCACTTGTGCGAGGCTTGACTTGGGACTACTGTAGTGTCTTGGTACCACACGTTGCTGGACAGACTGATTTGTATCCTGTTCTTGGTCCACAGCGGCTAAAGAATGACGTCTAGGAACGTGGCCTGGAGGAGCAGCTGTGTCGTGGTGGGAAGTGCTGGGCAAGGCTACTGTGGTCCCAGGAACTGAGGGGCTGCCTGAGGTCCTGGCGCACGTGTTGTGTGAGGCAGTGGGGAGGGAAGGAGGGAGGTGGCAGTGCTGACAGCCCTGTGCTGGAAGCTCACTCCTTTCCATGCTGGTCTACATCGTGGCTCCATCACAGCCTGCAGGGAGAGAGGCAGGGTTGGGAATTCAGTGCCTTTCAGATGGCTCTTGGGTCCAACAGAAAAAGAGGCTGCAAGAACATTGGAGGCTTCATATACATGGGTTAGACTGAAAATTACCAGTAATTACCATTTAGGGTAATAATATCTGAGCGTTTTACTGAGCTGCAGTAGCCTCACCATCGCTCGGTCTTAAATCAAGGTAACACACTTTTCAGAAAAAGATGCTCGGGCTCAGTCAGCATCTGTGGGGCTGCTGGGGATAGTCCAGGGTGAGAGCCTGGTGCTTACAGGAGCTCCAGCCAGCACTGATCTCTTCTGGTCTCTAAGAGTCTGCTCTAGGCTGAAGGCACAACCTGTAATATCCGTCCTGGTCCAATTTTGCCCTCAAACAACATTATCTTTTGTGTCTTCTCTTGGCTGTTGAGTGGCACCTGCTGGTGGTAGTCAGACACCCTCTTGCCATGTCAAACGGGCCTGAACTTCATTTCCGTTCGCTTATGGGAGTAATGGTATTCTTTGCCCGTCTTCCAGTTTATGCCATCAGCATAGCTCCCGTGGACGCCCAGCCAGTACATCCCATTCAGGTTGGAGAAATGGCAATCGTTGTACCACCAGGCTCCCTTGTATTCTGTGGCACAGTTAAAGGAGCTCATGTCGTTGTCCTGGTCTGTTGTTGAAAATGGCATGTCCTTGTGGTATGATAAGGAGTCTCCTGCAGAGAGCACACGTTCACAGTTACTGCAATAGAGAGCACAGAAGGGAACCTAATGTGTCTGTGCGCCGCTGCAGGGCATCGGTGGGCCTTGCTGGATGCAAGGCAGATCTTATAAATCCTGCTGTTCTCATGGTTGCCCAGGTTTCCTCCTTGGTCCTGGAGAAAAGGAGTATCCTGAGCTCTGCCAGGACTGCTAAAACACAGAGAACTTATCCATGCCTGTGAGTCAAACGGGCCAGATTCTGCTCACAGTTACACGGGTGTCACTTCTCTTGTACCACGCAGTCTCTGCGGACGTACTGAGGTCTGGCCTAGCAGACAGAGTTGCAGTGTACAAAAGCCACATAAACCCAGAGCACTGCTATCGGAGGTGTTGGTTTCATGCATTCCTGCAAGATGG